TGATAACTGACTTGGGAGCAACTCTGCATGTGTTTAGCCGCACTAATAGCCAGCTGAAGCTTGTTGTAAGTTAGCTGGTGTGGCGCAAGTAGCACCCGCGCGTTGATTACATAAGCACATTAATGTGCATGCGTCCAGCCCAGTCCAGCATTTTTGGGACAGTCTCTGTGGTTCAATTATTGGAAAAACTTAGACATCTGTGATTGTACGTTTTTCTATTATGTGTGTTTAACAACGTCCGAAATGTGAATTTTGACACGCAAATTGTGACACAAAACTACCTCAAATTGTACATATAGACATATATTTAGATAGATAGATAGATAGATAGATAGATAGATAGATAGATAGATGCACATGATTTAAAATTAAATAAATATAAACATAAAGTAATAACATGACGTAATACAATCAATAAATGCAGAGGGAATATATTTGTATTCAAATAAAACAATAAATAGAGAAAAGGGCAAACAAAAACACGTTATTTTAAAAGTTAAATAATATTAATATCACAAACAAAATGAAAAAGGTCTAAAACAAAACTGAAAAAAATTAGAAATATAATCTGCTTGGTTTTGGGTTCCTGTTGTATAACCATCATCATTTTCATCATCATCATCATCAATGCAGTGATACACAATAATTATTACTATTGCGAGACGATTTGGAGAGAGGCAGTAATCTTTAACGGATATCAATATGAATAATAATCATCATGAAATTAAAATCTAGAGCGCCATCCAATCAAGCCGCAACGTTGCATCGTGATGCTGGCTAGTTGCAGCCTGCCGTCTCGTCTGCTCTGCTTTTGGGCCAAAATGAGACAAAAGAGAAACAAAAATGGCAGCCCCTTCCTCGCTTTTATTTTTATAAGCAGCGGGCGCCGTCCACGATTGTGAGTGGGCCCAGGCGAACATTTGTCCTCGTGCACGTCGGGCGGCTGTTTTTTCTCTTTCGCCTTGTTGACTCGCATTTTGCAGCTTTAAATATCCCGGCTGCTTCAAGGGGGGGAAAAAAAACAGCCCTGATGACACTTCCTCCCACAAACACGACGTCTTTCATGGAGGATGTGCGGGATCAACATTCTTAGTGAGCACCCACTGGATGCAATGTAATGTCATGAAGGGAAATAAATAGACGTTTTATCACACGGGCGCCGCAGGGTGGCTCGTTTTTTTTGGGGGGGATGGCAACTTAGTTCTTGCACGACTTGCGTAACGACGACGCTAATCCAACGAGATCAAGGCTCGGCGACGTCGAAGAGAGATTTAATTTTTTTATTTATTTGCTTTTTGAAGGAGAAGCCTCATACATACCTGCTAGAGTGAGCGCGCGGGCGGTGATTCTTTGGGCAACGATCGCTACTCGTCTTCTTTTCGTGTCGATTTGCAGTCAGGCGGACTTCAAACCTTCCGGGTCGCCTGTTGTTCACTTCTGGGTCCTGTAGGAGGCGAACCCCCGGCAAAAAGATTTTTTTCCTCCTCGTTTTTTTTCTCCCTCTCCTTTTAACCCATTTTATGCCAAATTTTGGGGGGGATTTTTGGGTTGAGAGGACGATGTGAAGGAACGTGAACGCGCTGCCTCCATGTTGCTAGAAATTCTAGACGTGAACGCGCGCTCAAGAACCGGGCTGATGCGCGCACATCAGCACCAGGTGGCGCTCATGACTCGTGACCGACCGAGAAGGCCACGCAAGGAACGTCATCACCATTATGATTACACTGGTCAATCATGAAAACTGAGTTTAGCGCATTTTTGGGGTACTGAACCCAAATCTGAGCTCAGATTTACTCTATCACGTCACGTTGTTTTGCAATCGGCATGTTTCATACTGATGGATTTGCTAATTTTTCTCATGAGTTGAATGCCTCGTAATCTTCCACAAAAGCAGCTTCAAAAAAAGCAGCTTTAAGCTAGGTAAGTGAAACATAAACAAACGCGCTTTATCACCACAGCACATCAAATTTGGCCTATACAGTAAAGCAGTTAGTCTTGATTGATCTGGAGACTGGTTTGGCTCCAGACAGTATACTCAACTCTGCCTCGCCTTACCTATGAACAGAAAAGAGCAGGGATAATTGATGGTCCTCAGATGAAAACATCACTTCAGGACCACCACTTGGTGACTACAATGACAGATTACTTGCGCAGCCACCTGAGTGACTTTTCCCAAAAAACTTGGCAACGTACAGTCGCATCCAATAGTATCGGAACGGCATGGTTCCTTCATTTTTGTTGTGTACTAAAGACATTTGGGTTTTCAATCAAAAGGTGAATATGAGACAGAACAACTGAAGGCAGAGCACCTTTTGTTTGAAGCCACCTATTTATCAAATGAACAAAAGTTTGGGAATATGTGACTGAAAAGGTGTTTCTAGTTGCTCAGGTGGTGTCGTTTTAGATTTATTGCTTAAAAATTTGATAGTGCTTGTTTTGGACTTTGGGTTTCACCTGTGAAAACGGCATTTGCTGTGAAGCAAAAATGAAGACCAGAGAGTTGTCTATAGGAGAAAAGCAAACCATTTTGAAGCTGAAAGAAGAGAGGAAAAACAACCAGAACTATCGCACAAACATTGGGCGTAGCCATTACAACAATTTGGAATGTCCTGAAAAACAAAGAAACTACTTGTGTACTGAGCAACAGACATGGAACATTCTTTTTTTGTTGTTGTTGCTTTTAAGTTTGACCTCTTAAAGCTTGCTCAATATGGATTTGTCCTTACATTGCAATTTCTAGCGATGACATTTCAGAAAAAAAATTCCACCTGTTCCAGAACTTAAAATTTAATTCATAAATATGACTAAATATATGACTATATTACACATTTTATTTCTACATTATTATTCTTTTTAAAACTATTAACTATTAAAATCTGCTAGAGGAAAAAAAACTAGGGCAGATTCAGAATCAATGTGAAAAAAAATCAACTTGAAATGTTAAATTGCATCTCTGAGAATGCATCCATCCATCCATTTTCTAATCCGCTTATCCTCAGGAGGGTCGCAGGGTATGCTGGAGACTATCCCAGCTGTCTCTGGGCAGTAGGCAGGGGACACCTTGAACTGGGTGCCAGCCAATCGCAGGGCACACATACACGAACAACCATTCACACTTAAAATCACACCCAGGGACAATTTAGAGTGTCCAATTAGCATACAGGTGCATACTTTTGGAGTGTGGGAGGAAACCGGAGTACCCAGAGAAAGCGCTTTCACAACAGCTTCAGCTGTAACAAAGCGCTTTACAGAAGATTTAACTTAAAATAATGACACAGAACCAATAACTTAAGACATATGGTGACTTGACCTACAAGGGACCCAATTTCAAGGTTTTTCAAGATATGAGATCTTCCGGCAATTTTGGGCTTTGCAAGTAAAAAACTTCAAATGCTGCGTGGTGCCTATGCACTCAACTCATTTCAACAACAGCAGTAGTTTGGTAGATGGTGAACAATTTCTACACACCAAAAAAAAAAAAAAAAGATGTTTATTGTGTGAGGGTTTTGAAGACTTTTAAACAAAATTATCGTTTATTTTTTAATTCCATGGTGTTCAATCTCATATTCTCCATGTCAGATTTGAAACGCATAATACTTTTTGAAAGCATTGTCACACATAGAATTGGGCTGAGACAAATAGAAAGAAACACACTACGTATTTCTCTCTGCGACTTTGCAAAGAGCTTCAGGACACAACTGAGTCTGAGACATTTACATAACGGACACACTAACTGGAAGTCATATACTGTATCTCACCAAAGCTCCAGAGCGAAGAAAGACAAATAATGTGCTTCTAAAAAGACAATTTTCTGCAGCACTTTATTTCGCCCTATTTTGTTCAGCTGTACTTAAATTTTCAAGGCTCGACAGATTCTTGTTGCTTCGATATTTGGATGACGTATTGTCCTGTTTTGTGTACGTTTTATTCGGTAAATTGCTTACAGTAAGTCTGCCTTGATGAGTTTCACCTTCGATTCAACAATTGAACATTTTATTTATCAAATCATTATTGAGAGATCATTAATTTTGTATTCTCTGTGAATCAAAGACTAATATAACTGCCATACCGAGAAGCCAAGAGAGGAGCTGTGCAACAGCATGTTTGACGCAATCGTAAATCCCACTGGAGTTCCAGCCAGGATGCGCCCAACAGCATCCAGGCGAGAAAGCCTTAAAAGTACTTGATTTCGGCAGTGTTATCATTAATTGTATTTATTTTGTACAAATGTGACACATACATATTTTACAGTTCATTGTTTTTTTTTTTTGCACATACATATTTTACAGTTAATTGTTTTTTGTTTTTTTTTTGGGAGGCTGGAACGGATTAATGGCCTTGCATTCATTTTAATGGGGAAAGTTCCAAGCGTGGTCCAGGAATGAATGAAACTCATACCAAGGCGCCAATTGCAAAAAGAAAAAAAAAAGTGTTGAGAATATTTAAAAAAAAAATCTTGTTCCACAACCTTTTTGTAAACAAACCCTCATTTGAAAACAATCAAAATGAATGGAAGAGACCTGATATTGCTTAAAGATTTTATGCAGCAAAGGAAGCAAAAAAAAAAACATGCCAAATTTGAATAACTACAATGTCTGTACGTCGACAAAAATAGACGTGAAGAAGATAAAAGGGTAGTAAAACCCTAGCACGCCTGAGGGTTGAGTGTATTAGCATGCAGTTGCTTGAACAAGTCAAATAATTCCCTCTCTCTGTTTCCCCTCTCACCTTGTTTGTCTTGACACGCTCGTCTCATGGGCCAGCGAGTTGCCCGACTGGTTCCCTGAGCCTGTTCAAACAGTGCCACGCCCGTCACTGCTCCAGGTGCAAGCGAGCAAGGCGCCCTGGGAGGCCACAAGGGAAGGTGGAGTGTAGGGGTGGGGGGGAGGTTATTAGCAACAGCAAAAAGGGGGTGGGGAGAGAAGAGGAAGACAGCGTGTTGAAGAGCTCCGGAGGGACATGCGGCTCTGAAGACTCCCACGGGGGCGACCAGGTAATGAAAACTCACAATGGGGGCATTTCTATTTTTTTTTCGAGAGTTTGTGCATGTCCACTTCACAATGTGCTGTTGCTGATTGAAGTGAATATCACTTGCGGGTGTGTGTAAACTTTGTGGGGCCGTCAAGGACATAATTCAGGATTAGCTTTCATGCACACGCTACTGAAATGATCTTGCACACATTGTTGACACTATTTTTTTTTTGCTTGCACACAAAACTGAAATCCTCTCACACCACGACTGAAATGCATTTTTCAGTGTACGAACGTATTTCAAGATGATTTCGGAAAGGATTTCAGTAGCGTGAAGGAAAGTGCTTCAGTAGTGTGTGAGAGTGTTTCAGTAGCATGTCTAAAAGAGTATTTCAGTAGTGCATGTGAGAGAATAATACAGTAGCGTGTGAATGAAAGCATCAGTCAGTGCGAGTATGTTTCAGTAGAAGTGTTTGAGAGAGCATTTCAGTGCTCTGTGAGTGATGTTTTCGGTAATTTAATGTGAGAATTTTTCAGGAGTGTGTCTGTTTTAGTAATATGCCCGAGCGCATTTCAGTAGTGCGTGTGAGAGCTTTTCAGTCGCATTCGTGAGACAGTTGCAGTGGTGTGTATGACAGCCTTTCAATAGTGTGTGTAAGAGCTTTTCAGCAGCGTGCATATGGGAGTGTTTCAGTAGAATGTGAGAGCTATTCAGTTGCGTGTCTGACAGCAATTCAGTAGTGTGAAATGAGAGTATGTCAGTCATGCAAACAAAAATTTCAGCAGTGTGTATTAGCTTATCAGCATTTGTGAGAACTTTTCAGTAATGTGTATATGAGAGCATTTCAATAGTGTGTGTGAGAGCTGGTCAGTTGCACGCAGAAAAGTGTTCAGTGAGTGTAAGAGCAATTCAGTGGCGCGCATGAGAGCGTTTCAGTTGTGAGGACCTTTCAGTTGTGTGTCTGAGAGCGATTCAGTAGCGTGTGTGACATTATACATCTAAGTATGAGAGCATATACATCGTGTGTAGAAGGATTTCAGTCATGTGTGAGCTTTTCAGGAGCATGTGTGAGAGCATGTCAGAATTGTGTGAGAATACCTTCAAGATGGCGCCATAGTTGGCAGCCCGCTGCAAGAGCTCTGCTTTTTTTCTGGTTGTTTTTGTCTCTTGTTTTGTCATATGGTGTTTTTTGTCCTTCGTGTGGACCCGTTGTGGACTGTTTTCAGCTTTTTGACCACGACATTCGTCGAAGAAGAATCTTTGCTCGGTTAGTTGGGCCTTCTGGGCAGTACGCATGTACCAGCACTGGTTTTGATGGAGGGGAATGTCGACACAATTAAACTGTCGCCGCTTGACAGCCCTCACGGTGTGTTTTTTGCGCCTCTAATGGGCAGCATTTTTCACAGCCCCGTTTGGTTCAGCGGAGATGTCGACGCTGTTGGACAGTTTGCGTTGGTGTGGCTGGATGGAACTCAGAGTCGCCACTTGCAATTGAAGCCGATGTATAATTGACAGAAGTGAACAATTTATTTTATCGTCATTGGATGCTACATCTTCTTGTTCACTTTAAAGTAACTTGTAGCCGACGTGTGGGACGTCATGCAAGTTTTGAGCATGACGTCTCTGATCCACTGGTGAAAGGAGACTTTGATTCTCTTGTTTTTTTCTTTCTTTCTTGCTTTGCTTCCTGAAATGGCAACTTGTGTTATCATGCTACAAGTATAAACAAGATGACCTGTTCAGTCGTGTAGTTCAAGTCTAAATCAAGTCACTTCGATACTGAGTCAAGTTGTTTCCATGTTTTTGGCCAGCAAGTCACAATTCCTAAAAATAGTCTAACTTGAGTCCCCCTCACTGGAGTGTGTGAGAGAAAAAAACATTAGAAGGGTTTATACGTGCGTTTCAGTCTTGTACATGAGACCATTTTAGTTGTGTTTGTTAGAAGTTGACTAAATAATGACCCTGATGCTCCCTCACAGTAAACAGTGCAAAGTTCAAGTATTGATCTCCAAGCCCAGGATGACAAGTGCAGAAATAACGATTACCTTCCTGGTCTGCCGAAGCGTCTGACATTCTCGAGATCGTGCACCTCGAGACGAAAGTGGCAAACCTGTTTTGAGCCGCGCACGTGTCGTGTACCCGCAGACATGGACGGCGTGTTGGACAGTGCGTCGGTGTTGTGCGTCTTCAAGCTGGTGTGCAACCTCCTGTGCCTGCCCTCGCTGGCGACATCGCGCAGTCCCGTTGGATTCTGCGGCTGCTGCATCCTCATCTTCACCGACTTCCTACTCACAGGTGAAGATTTAAAAACTGTCAATTTACAAACGTACATGATGAATCGTTGAAAACGAAATTTCCTTCAATGCTTCCAAACACCAGGTGCAATGAAGACAACACGCGTCTTTGATGTTCACAAAACCCAACAGCAAACTATGAAGATTTGAAATTGTTCATTTTTGAGGAGTAAATTGCCTTCGTTGCTGAAAAGAAGAACACACAAGATCCACCAAAGTGTCTCCAAAGCATATTAGTTACGGTGAAGACGTGAAATTCTCTGGTCACAAATGCGTGTTCGGCTCTTTGAGGACTAAATTATCTTCAGTGTTGACATAAACAGATGACGTTCATTGAAGTGTCTTGGATTTGACAAAAAACACATTTTTTATTTTTATGGCGGTTCTTTAAAGATTTAAGAAATGCTGCTGAAAATGCTATCAAATGTTTTTGGTGCCTCCAAGATCACAGTTTAAATTGGCTTCAGCTCTTGCAAAAATGTGAGATTGATTGAAGACGGGTTCTTTGATTGTCCAAAATATTTAGATTCAATGAAGACCTTAAAATCGTGTGCTTACAAATGTGAGTTATGTTCTACGCATGTTGGGGGAAGGTGGCCTTCTTTCCTCCGTGTGTTCGTTGAATTTCGGACGAGGAGAATGTTGGTTCTTCAAACAGAGGCTGGAATCGACGAACAGTTCCTTAAAAAGCTTTTAATAACAGAATATTCTGGGCACCCGCAAATTACAGACAATGGCTGCGCGTCACGAGTGCGAAGCAGGAAGAAATTCACATCACTTTTATATTATCAGAAGGGCGGTACCGAGGCACAAATTGAGACATCATAATTTTCGTTTCTCCTAAACCAATTGTCAGCTTGGCGCATTCCAAAGTTTGTGCGTCTTCAGCAGGGACTATTCCAATTCTCGGTGATGATTGTTACAAGGACGCCAAGCTACGCTGCGGGCACGGGAAAGCCACACAGCATAACCAAATATGAGCAGAATACAGACTTCACGCACAAAGTGTCTTTGGTGTTTACAAAGCATATTCGGTTCAGATGTTTGTTTATAAGTTAAGCTTAGTGGAAGACTAATGTGTCTTTGATGTATGCAAAAACACGGGCCCTTCGAAAGTGGCTTTAATGTTTACAATAACTGTTTTTTGTCTCTGGTGGGCGTTGGCCTCTCCAGCTTGAACCTATACTGGAAGTTGAGTGAAAACGTACACAATTACATTGTCGAATTGTGTTTTTGTGCAGTTTACCTGAGCTTCCTGGGCCTCTTTGAGTCGTGGCTCGTCGAGCTCGTTCCACCGCTGGGCGTCATCGCCCTGCGCTTCCTACTCTTCTTGAGCCACACCTATGGCGCCGTGCTGATACTCCTCACACCCCTCGTCGCTGTAGAGACCTTCGGCAAATTCCTATGGATGACGAGAGAAGAAGAAGACGACGACGACGACGAGGATGAAGGCAGGGATGAAAAAGGTGGCTGGCAGTGTCACGCGATTGGTTACCTGTGCTGTTTGTCGGTGTGGGTGGCGGTGGCGCTCAGCCTGCGCTGTGGATGGAGGTTGGAGGAAGCCAGGGCAACTGCTTGTTTGGCTCGCGGTGGCTCTTTGATGCGGTGCCTGCCCAACCTGCTGAGTCCCCTGCCCAGCGCGATGCGCCCCTGCTGGGGTGTGGCTTTGCTTTACTTGATCCTGATCCTGCTCACCTGCTCGCTTCTTCTTCTCACACAAGCGATGGCGAGCGACAGCCAACGATGTTCCTCTAAGGAGAAAGTTTGCATGACGGCGCCCCTTCAGATGCCGCGCAGGAATGGGCGGCGGGGTTCGAATTTGGCACTGGCCTTGCTGGCTGTGCTCGGCATGCTGGTGCTTCCGCTTTACCTTGGTGTCAATGTCCTCCTGCTGAGGAGCGTGGAGACCCTCCTGGAGGCCTGCATCAGTTTCTTTTTGGCGTCGGTCTCGCGAGGCTCCAGCACAGATGTCGTCACGTTGGTGTGAAGCGATCGCACGTCGATTGGAAAGGGATTACGGGATTAAGGGACAATGTTTACATGCGGGGACTAGAACGCCGGTAAAATGCTGACGAGGCAAGTTGAGGGAGGCTTGCTGGCTAAAGCCGTGGAAGATTATTGGTCACTTTGAGGACCACAACGTAATGACACTGGTGTTCAGTAATAAAAATATGATCAGTATCATGCAGATCTTTGTTAGGTTGATTGAAGATTCTGAATTGTACATAAATTTGACTGTGCGTGTGAATGGTTGTTAGTCAATATGTTCCATGTGAGAGGATGGGGACCACTCCAGGGTGTATTGAATAGTGTGAAGTCCTGCTCCGAGCAATTGCACTCCCCCCTCTCCAACAACTGCGTACAGATGCCACAAAATAATGGAAAAGCACTACTTTTAAGAGCTTCGAATGCTCTAAAATGGAGCTCATTTCAACATAGTTCCTTGGCACCAAAGCATTGGACTGACGGCCTAAAGCTCCTCCCCTTACTTCATCACAATTCATTGTCATCAAGATTCCACAAGATGGTACCAAAGCATTGGACTATCTAAATGAAGCTCCTCTTCTACTTCAACATAGTTCCTTGGCACCAAGACGGCTTCCAAGCATCGGATTGTCAAAATGGAACACCTCTCCTCATTTCAGCAAAGTTCCTAAGCACCAAGACCACTCCACTACCAAGTACCGGATGGACTAAATGAAGTTCCTCCACTCAGTTCAACATCGTTCCTTGGCACCAAGATGCCACAAGGTGGCATCAAAGCATTGGGCAGTCTAAAGGAAGCACATCTTCACTTCAACATAGTTTTGGGGCACCAAGGCAGTTGGACTAGCATTGGGCTAAGTGAATGTAGCTCCTCTTCTCACTTCAACATACGTAGTTCCTTGACACAAATATGTCACAAGTTGGCTACAAAGCACTACCACTCACTGAGACAGATTGTCAAAATGAAGCTCCTCTTTTTGCTTCAACATAGTTCCTTGGCACCAAGCTGAACTTTATTTGACAATAAAGTTGTACTTGACTAGAAAGCTAACTGTGATAGCACAATAGAAAGAGGAAGAATGAATAGCACTGATTAAAAAACAAAAAAACAAAAAAAAAATCCAGTGAGGACAAAAAGTGATAACAAGGACTAATTGTTCTAATGATGTTTTTGACTGTTACAACAAAAATATTTAAACATAAAAAGACATACAACAGAATCGCATCAGAAAATATAGGAAAAAAAAGGCGGATGCGCTAAGCAGGGTGGACGACTAATTAGCACGTCCGCTTCACAGTGCAGAGTGCAGGGTTCCCCGCCTACGTCCCGGAGACAGCTGGGATAGGCTCCAGCATGAAAGTGGACTGATGCGCTAATTGTTCTGTTACAACTTCAAATGATACTGCTTTTGAAGAAAAACTCAATTTAGAAAATTAATCAAAAGGTCACAAAAGAGAATGCAGTCAGAACTTAATTACATCGAAATCAAACATAGGCGACACTGATTTGTCTGATAAAAGAAGGTGCGGCCAATGCAATGAGATCTGTTTACACATACTGTACTGTAGTGAGTTACAGGTGTGCAGCCCCCCCCCCCCGCACCCACCAAAAAAAGGGGGGGTGGATAAAACCATAACACAGGAAATTACAGGCAAAAAACAGTTCTACAATAATAAAAGTATAACAGTTATTTGAAAAAATAACAAAGTGTCATACATGATTTCAGAAATTAGGAAATTTACTATGAAAATATATTTCAAAATAAAATCAGGCATCGGTTTTATTTCACAATTTTCTTTTTTTGCTTCATTTAAAAAAAAAAGTGTAAACTGATTGAGCAGCACAGTTTACTAGTGGTTACTAGTGGTTAGCACACCCGCCTTACCCTTTTTTTGAGTCAAGGTTTGGATTTCTACTGTGACCTTCCTGTGTGGAGTTTGCATGTTCTCCGTGTCGATGCGTCTATCCCGTGTTCATTGAAGACTGTGGGTGTGAATGTGAGTCTGTTTGTTGACATGTGACCTGTGATTGACTGGCAACTAGCCCGCTCAGAGGTTCCAGCTCACCAGTTGACCTTAATGAGGACTGAAGTGCTTTAAAAAAATGGATGGATGTCTGGTCATTTTTGTATTAAATTTATTTAAACATGAAGTGTACTAGTTTTCTTGACTCCCCTCACATTTCATTTTATTTATTTATGTTTTTGTTCAAAAAGTCAAACTTAATTAAGTATTATGGTGTAGGAAATTTGTTATGTTATGCATACCAATTTTGTATTACGTTAACTTATTGAACAGAAGATTGTTTTTGTAATAAACAATTAAAAATTTTGTAATACAAAATTGGTATGCATGTTATTTTTTTTAATTTTACCCATAAAGACCCCAAAACAAAACATGATCAGTATGTTTTTAGAATGCATACCATGTAATATGTATACCAGTTTCAGATTAAATTTATTTAACTTTTAACTGAAGGAAATAACAAAAAAAAACAGGATTCAAGATTTAAATTTTTTTTCAGCTTTAAAACAGTTAAAAATGCCACAACTGGTCTATAAATCACTGAATGCATTCAATTGGTAATACATTAAGGAAATGTGAATTGAATATGAACCCAGTTGGGCTCTGAGGTCTGCAGATTCTAGTCAGTGGAGCCCAGGTTTCAAAGCAAACATGGTGAAGCGGCATTTAGCTGTTCTGCTGCACGCAAATGGAATTGGAAGCGAAGTCAGCCCCAAGTGTAAGTGGTTTTACATTAATTTTTTTCCCTTTTGTTTGATTAAGCATTTTTAAAATCAATTTCACTCTGTTCTTTGAGTAATCTCTGGAAGCTACTTTTCATTTCTTTTCTTTGCTCTGAAATGTCTTTAAATCTTCTGGTTTGAAATGTGGTTAAATGTTGTCAATATGCAAGTAATTTTAATAAGCTATTTTATTCTCTCTGCATTGCGAATGTCTTCAGTCTTCTGTTTGTTAATGCTATGTTGTGCTTTTGGTTGCGTGAAGCACATTGAGTTGCCCTATTTATGAAATGTGCTGCATAAAGTTGCCTCGCCGTATCTTGATTTTTAATTTTTTAGCAAGCCAAAAAAAAATCAAAAATGTAATTTGCAAAACTTCCTCTGTCTGATTGATATGTTCACCAATTTTGGATTCAATTTATATAGCTAATTTTCAATAGTAAAACTGATTGTATAAAAGTTTTTTTATTCTTCATAAAGAACCCCAAAACGAAAAATAAAACATGCAATTGTTTATTTTTTATGAAATTTATCCATCTTGGTTTTTAGCAGAGTGCATTAAATTTCAAAATAAAAAAGGAAACAAGTTCTATTTCTTTCATAAATTGAATTCTACAAATTTTGTATGTTTTGATTTTTGCATCACAAATTGAATGTATCCAAATAAGGATTTAGCAAGTAATTTCAATAGAATGTGACCTTTTTTTTTTTATAAACAATTCAAATATTGAAAATGGTATGCTTTTAAATTGTTATAAAGCACAGGACCGCAAGTAGCCTTTGAACTCATGTTTCCATAGTGGCCGGTGCATGCGGTTCCTGGGCGATCATTGTTGCAAATGTAAACAAAGAAGAATCTGAACTCACCCATGACACAAACCACCAGCTCCCAGGGCTCGCTAGCAGAATACAAATGTGCACAGCAGAGGGCGCCACAAGTTTCCTCGGAGAGCCTGAGGATGGATGGAATGCGAGGGGGGACGGGGACGGTGGAGATGGGAAACCGAGAATTTCCTGTGTTGAACACAAAATGACATCACACAGGAATAATTGAGGTCCTACTTCCTCTTCTCAGTTATTCCAAAGCAGCCCACGCATCAACCTTGTGTCTTTTTAATGTTAAATGAAAAGTAAACGTTGCAACTCACCTCTTCAACATAAATCACACATAAAAAAAAAAAACAAAAAAAAAGATGAAAAAGCGGACTCTCTCCCTCGGGACGCCTCACAGCCATCAGAGAGGAGTTACAAAGAAGACATCAGTGACTTTTTAATGGACAATTTCCCCTCGGGTTAAGGGGAAAAAATATATATATATTGCAGGGTGAGCTGCTGCTTCGAGATACGGTATAAAAAGAATCAAGTCGAAGATGAAAATGAAACAGCTTGAGTTGTAGTATAGTGTAATATAATAATGGCGCAGCAAGACTGCGTTTCATTCAAGTGTGAAATAAGGCAACAAGATGTTCTCATCTGAAATTTGAGGCCTCAAATTTCATGTGCGCCCAATGACAAATCTACACAAGTAATAAGATAACAAGGATGCTGGGGCAGGACACTTCCACAAGGGTACAAAGGCAGAAATATACATCCTGACAAGTATATAACCTCAAAAGCATGCTGTCACAAGGATCACATGTCCTCATTAGTGGCCCCTTACAAGCATACATCCTGACAGGGACACTTCTTAAAAGATTTTTAATCAGAATTATACCCTCCTTACAAGTACACAATTCCGCGTCGACATCCTGACGAGGCTGCATCTTGACGTATCCGTGCGACGAATAAATCCGAACAAGTTTATGCAAGGACGCCGATAAGGATACTACTTTTCTAACCGGACAAGTACACATTCTAAGTTGTCTTGACAAGGAGGTATCCTGACACGATGGGTCCTCAAAAGAACAAACAGGCACGCAGTGTGTACAACTTGATCCTAGGTCGATATCCTGACAAAGATACGGGTCCTTAAAATGACACATTGTCACAGGATATAGCCATGAACTGATTTAATATACTACGGGATGAATTTCCATGACAATTTGCTCACATGCACCAGGGACAGGGTAGCTAAGGGATGCATCCTAAAACAGTCTAATCCCTCATAATCCTCTGCTTTTTCCTTGACGTTTGTGTCATTTAGTAAAACGGCTCGCTATAATCCAGACCGGAACGAGAGTTCCCGTTCCCGAGTCTCGACGCGAGACACTACTGTTCAAATTAGGGCAAAGGTGATGAAAACGACAAACAGGAGGATTTTTAGCAGTCATTTATTGTACATTAAAATACATTTCCCCACAGTGGAGTGTTTACAAGCCGATGGGAGCACAGCGGCCATCATTCAAGGACACAATCATCAATAGAATCATAAAAAGTGTCAGATGTGACATCATCATAAACCTTAAATGTTGATTTAATTTCATAAATGTTTTGTTTTTCTGCCATCCCCGCTGCCTCCGCAACGTCACACATTTAGCGCATTTTAAATAGCGAAACGCAAAACAGTCAACGGGGACATCGAGGTGTCGCCAACGTGGGGGGAGGCGAGGAGGGGTCGTGTAACCTTTCAGTTCCAGCGTCCCGATTGGTTGAACCACGTGTTGGTTTTTAAAGCAAACGAATGGATTGTACTCATCAGAAACGTAAACCTGACAGATTGGTGCAAATCAACATCAGCAGAAAAAAAAAAAAGAAGCAACATTCCAAACTGTCAGTCGGACTATCCTAGTTAGCTGACAAACAGGTAAAGGTGCAAGATGGCAAAAAGAACGATTGTGGCCAAGGTTTGCTCCGTAAGATTCCAAAAGGTCGAGATGGGCTTAATGAAGGACGCACACACATCGAAATCAGCCAGCATGCTTGATTTGGCCCGTGGCAGCAGAAGCTCTTAGGACTCGTGTACACATTAAGCCTGGTGCTCGGGGGCACGTGGGGCCAACTGACATGTCCGAATCATCTGTGATTTTGTCACATGGATTAACAGGGATATCTCGCACCACTAAGCCACGATTCAACATAACAAGACGGTTTTCTCTAGCTACATCAAAAACCACAGTTGGACCACAGAACTGGAAACGGAACTCACTCCAACAAAGCCAAGGTTCTGTTGGATCAGTAAGCACAACAACTCATTAAATGGCACCGAGAAAACACCATGACGTGGTCCTGTGCTACCAGGGTATGAGTAGTTTGACTTCATTTCAATTTTTAGAGTTGGTATGATATCATCTGAGCTTGCAACAAATCAATTGGCATTGTATTGCTTCCTAAGGGGAATTTTCAGTTTGAAATGAGAGCAACTTGGAAGTCAACTGGCATACCAGTTTTCAAAGTTACGAACGTCACGCAACAAACTCGAAGTACACCCAGTACTTGGCGTTCTTTTTGTTTGTCTATTTTATATTTATGGCCGAGAAGTGGTTTGTTTTTTTGGGTTTTTTTTGCCCACACAAATAGTTACTATATTTAAGACTTGAGTAAGGTGCTCGCATACGCCACATTCCCACTTAACTACCAATTCATGTTAGGGACAAGAACGGGCCTCTGTCGTAAACCGAGGACTACCCCTATGTTAATCCATCGTAGAAACTCTCATGGGGTGCGTTGGTGTGGGGTGCGTAGAGACACCAGTGCATCATTTTTCCCTCAACAGCAGCGTCATTTTTCAGAATGGAAAGTGCAGACGGAGACGGTGGGCGACATGAGTGAGGTTCCACTCGGGGAAAAAAATAAATACCCTGCCACTAAATGGCCACCAATCCAAGAAGTAGTCCGCCTTTCAAATCTGCTGAGGTCAATAGCTCGCAGGCCCCATTTCAGAACCGGGGACATTGCTTGTATCCTTTTTGTGACACTTTCGCTGACCAACGGCAGAGATTTGACATCAGTGGAGTGCCACAAGGAAAAAAAGAAAGAAAAGTTAGTCCACTTCCCACTCGATGTTAGCTGGAATCCAGTCCAGCTTTCCCGCCATCTCCAACAAGTGGTAGGAAAGAGATGATCGCAGCCCCATTTCACCCCAGGGGAAATTCCTTTGCCTCCATTTTGAGACATCTTCAGTCACCACCCAATAAGTATGCTAAGAGTCAATTTCAACAAGGGAAAAGCCGTCAACTCCCACTTTCCCCTCGCCCTAAACAACATAACTTGAACAAAACGGATGATCAAAGCCTGATTAACCTCCAGTGACAGACAGATAGATCCCTTGCCTCTATTTTGTGTTCTCTTGAGTGACAGACAGCCATCATCATCAGTGAGGCTCTGAATGGGAAAAAAACAACAACAAAAACACCAAAACAGAGCAGGGGACATCATGACTGACTGATGACCAATCGGCATTTTGGTCAACGTCATCTTGGATAGACTCAAATGTATTCACTACTTTAAACGGGATAAATGGAAGAATGTG